GTATTAAGAGGTTATTTTTGTAGAATCTGGAAAATTCTCCCCGTTGCAGGCTGGTTGTAGAGGCAATATATAATCTGAGTATTTACATTTGCCAAGGAACATCCTGCTTTTATAGGAACCATTGAAGTCTCAATGACGGAAAAAGTTCTTCAACTCTAGGGTCGATTTGTGTATCAGAAGTTACATCTTAGTACATGTAATTTCACAGTGGTTCACCATCAGGTTAAAAATAGTCTTGTTGACCACACACAGTGTAACATTTTTTAAATTAAAATTTAGCTGCACCGATAGCTACAGAATTATTTGTTAAAGCCAGTGCTTATAGACACCAGCAGCTAGAGGGTGGACTTAAGATGTTAAATAAATCAGTCCTACAGAAAAGGCATACTTTTTTATAGTTGTTGTGAGTAGTATTTCCCAAATACTAACTGCTGCAGCTGGAAAGAGGGGTTGTCCATCATTTTAGGCTTCATGAAGATCTGTAAGTTTTCAAGGAAAAAGTGAAATAGTCTTGTTTTCTTCTTTTTTTTTTTTCCTCCCTTCCCCTTTTAGACGGCACATGGTTTATTGAATGGATAGCAAAATGGTTTCAGCTGGTATACTGTGTGATGAAGTCTGTCTTAATCTGCTTCTAGATTTTTCTTGCTTTTTCTATAAGGACAATGAAATTGTTGGAAAGGTGAAAAGCAGTATCTGTATTCTACAGATTTCTAAGCATAGAGTTGAATCATATGTTACAGCAGGCAAGTCCAATAGAGGTAAAACAAAAAAGAGAAACATGGAAGTCGAATGCTAAGAGGAGACTTCCATCGTTGAGAATGCAACGCTTCACTTTTATTGTAGAGTTTGCGTTCTTTAACAGATGCATACCTTGCTGTGAATTATCAGCTCTAGTTAGATTTTTTTGGAGGTTTCTTGTATAAAGCATAAATATCAAAGTATAGATTTCCAATGCTCATATCAAAATTCACTGTCTCTTGGTAGCTTGGTGCTAGGCTGGTACGTTTTATCTGGAATCCTCTTCGGAGAGAAACACTGCATATGGGACATTTGGCTACTCCAAGACCACCAGGCGCATCCATGGGGTTTTGCGGGGTGGGGGGGGGGTGTGATGTGTGTATTTGTTTTGGTTTTTTTTAAGCATAACCACACAGATACTACTGTGATGTGATTCAGAGAATATGCTGTGATGAGCTACTCTAGCTGCGGTGCTATAGTGACTTTTAATGCTGTTTGCCCCCCATCGTCATTGGCTTTCCATCTGTGACTGCTGAACATGGCACACAGAATCATAGCATGGTTGGAGTTGGAAGGGACCTTTAAAGACCGTCCAGTCCAGCGCACCTGTCATGGGCAGGGACATCTTCCACTAAACTGGGTTGCTCAAAGCCCTATTCAACCTTACCTTGAGTCTTGATGCCCCACGATGGGGCATCTATAACTTCTCTGGGCAACCTGTTCCAGTGTCTCACCACGCTCGTCATAAAAAGTTTCTTTTTTGTATCTCGTCTAAACCTACTCTTTTTCCATTTAAAACTGTTGCCCCTTGTCCTATCATTACAGGCCCTGGTAAAAAGGTTCCCTCCACAAGCCCCCTTTATATATTCGAAGTCTGCTATTCAGACTCTGCCTCTGGAGTCTTTCTCTTCTCCAGGCTGAACAACCCCAACTCTCTGTCTTTCTTCATAGGAGAGGTGTTCCAGCCCTTTAACTGTTTTCATGGCCCTCATCTGGGCCTGCTCCAACAGGTCTGTGCCTTTCTTCTACTGGTGACCCCGGAGCTGGATGCAGTACTCCAGGTGCGGTCTCACTCTATAAGTCTGTCCAGCTTTTTGGTGAAGACCCTCTTGTCCCACTGGGTCGGGTGAATCCCATCAGCTCCCAGCAGAACCAGCTGTAGAACCAAAGATAGATCCGTGATCATAGAAGCCAAAACATGAGTATTGACATTCCAGTGCACAAACCGTATTTGGCGTATGTCACTGGCCTGGCATCACACACATCAGAGTAATCTGAAATCAGTTATGATTTTTGTAATATGAATTACTTTTTTTTTTTTTTTTTTTAGGCAGGCATAGCATCTATCCATAATCCTGTTGCAGTGTAGTCATGGCAGAGCATGTGAATTGATTGGATATATTGAGCTAGATCCTATGGTGTGTAATCCGTGCGCCTGGCGTAGCTCAATTGCCTCGGGTGTTTGTAGAATCTCATCTTTCTTTTGAATTGCTGAGATTCATCACATGAGATTACTTGCATGGAGAAATGTTGCATTATCCAGGCATTCTCTTTTTCTTCTTTATTGTGAATAGATACAGTTTCTTTTTGTCTCACAGATTACCTGCTTGCCCATATATTGACTTGTGTCTTCCAATTTAAAAAAAAAAAAAAAGGGGTGAACTATTTCTGGTTAAAAACGTGCACTTACAGGTAAAACCGTTTTTTTTCCACGGTGCATCCACAGAATTGTGACCTTTTCCTGGATCTTTCGTGCTTGTTCAGGCCATCACAATTGAACAACGACAGTGCTGGTTGCTTTCACAAATGCTAAGACTCCAGTGTGTGATTAATGGAGAATTTGTAGATATTTGTTATCATATTGCAAATGTGTTCATAGCATTTAATCATTGTCACAGTAAGAGTGACAACTTTTAAAAGACCTTTAACTGCTTTTTTCCTAGTCTGTAGTATTTTTTCGCCAGCCTAGTCTCTAACGATCAAAGTGTAACTGATAGCCGAAAAAGGTCAAGTGAATTTCAGGTAAAGATTGGAGTATAATCAACCAACCTCATGTCTCTCTGAAAGATCTTTCTGTAGTAGAGTAGGTAAGGAGTTCACTAAGAGAAATAATACCCTATTCCTAGGATTTACTGCCTTGTTAGTTTTTTCTGTTAGGGAATCAAAATGTCTGCTAGAAAAGTAGCATGTCCGTGCTTGCTGTCCTTTAGAAAAATTCTGAGTCAGCAGGATGGGAACCAGATGGATGGGAAGAGCAAAAGCATAATGACGGGCAGAAAATAATGAAAAAGTGCAGATGTGCAGGGGGAAAGAACAGAGATCTTAAGAACTAAAGTGTAAAGGGGAATCGTATTCAAAATGCGGTATGGAGAGGACATGTATGTTTTGGGCTTAAAAATATATGTGGAAAATAAAGTTGCTATTCCCTAAGGCCAAGTGACCTCATTTTAGAGCTGCTTTCTTTTTGTTCCCAAGAGGACATATGCCCAGACCTCTGTAGGAAATCTGGCTGCCAGCTGGCACAGCACCTTTCAGAGAGACCTAATTTTATATTTTCAGAACCTGGCAATATCAGCCACCTCCATCTGTAATAGACTGCTGTTTATGGTACCTGTTCAACTGCATTTTAAATTTAATTTTAACTTTCCTTGCCAACCTATTATTAATAAGGGCCAGGCTATTGAGAGCTGTCAATAGCGCCAAACAAAGTGTTTTAATTTTGTGAGGTCTGTGGGTTCATGCTTTTGTTTTTCATGAATGTGCGTCTTTTGAAGGGCTCTAGAATGTTAACGTGTGTGATGAAATATCATCTTGCCTTATTTTAAGTCTGTATTGAGAGGAGACTGGAATAAATGCTTTATAGTAATAGTTGAAGTCTGTCATATTAAATTCAGTTACTTGGAGTACTGGCTTTAGTTTTTCGGGGATAGAAATCAGAACGTATTGAGCACATCATCATATTATATGATGATTTGTCCAGCTAAATAGAATTCAATGTGGGTAGTGAGGGAACGGATTCAGTTCTCTTGCTCTGGCTCTACCTGCTGCAAGAATATTTTCAAGCCATCTCTGGCCAGCTTGGGGAGAGTGCCTGGGGAGCTCTCTTGGCAGCAGGCAGATCTGCTCTTGTAGAGTCCAGGTGATGACAGGCGGCCTGTTTGTGTTAATTTAATACAGGGAAGAAAGCCACTTCAGATCTGGAAGAGATGAAATGGCCACTGTCGTGTGGCAGCTGCTGGTTCAGCATGGACCTGCTTCACTTTGTGCTAACTGTAGCTTCAAGCTTTCATTGATTTCAGTCTGTCTTAAACTTCGACAGAGTCAATTAATTCTTGTAATCACTAGGAATCATATTTGCTATTCATGTAAGTCTAACTGAGGAAAAAATTGGTTTCTTTTGTGTATAATTCTGCAATACTTTGTAAAATTATTTGCATTGGAAGAGAAGATGCAAATATTTATGTACAGTAGCAGTGAAATACTGCACCCAAAGCTTAATTGAGATGGATTCTGTAGTGTATACCTGTAATGTTGAGAAGTTTGTCATTTATATGAAATTTATTAATGTTTCTTTGAATTTTTATTAATATATTTTCTGGTGTGTTTTTTTTTTTTTCCAGCTCTTCGTTGTAGCCTCCAATTTCTTGGAAACATTGCAGCAGGAAACGTAGATTCCCAGAATAGCATTTGGAAGTGTGCTTTCCCAGATCTCTTCTTGTAAGCATGGATGCGGGTTTTTTTAATAATGTAATTTCTGTGGTTATATTCAAATCTTTTGTACATTATAGTTGTGCCTCTACTAGCACCATGAAGCTTTGAAAAATAACTCTGGGGAGAAAGGGATGGTTGAGACCATATCCTGTAGATGTTTTTTTTTGTTAGTCAACTGCAGGGGTCAGGACCTTCAAAAACCTGTTTGTTCTAAGCTAACAGTAAATTGATTTCATCTCACAGAAACTGGAAGAAAACTATTTCAAATGATGAGCTTCAAACATAAGATTTATTTCAGAGGTGTTTTCAAGTAATTATACTCATTTCCAAGAACATAGCTTTTTCTTTATTTGCTTTGCTGCTGTCAGATCTGTCAGTGTTTTGTGGAGCAGATGGAATCTATAGAAGTGACTTATTTTTTGTCTTCAGTCCTTTTGCCTTTAACCAGTTTGTTTTCCCAGGGTCAGTTTTAAATTAATTTCTTAATTCCTTGTTTTCTCTTGAAGAACGTGCCTAACGTACAATGATGAGAAAGTTGTTGCCTATTGTTGTATGGTCCTGTTCACCTGCCTTAATTTGGAGAAAGTGAGAACACTACTGGATCCTGGGAACTTGACTGTGGCTCTCCATGTCCTGAAAGTCTACAAAGAGCAGTTGGAGTCTGAGTGGTCGTATGTATCTTTAAATTTCCCTCCCTGCCTCACCATCTTAATTAAGTGTTTTCCTAGTGTAAATCTCTGTATTAAAATGTCTACATTTGTGACACTGCTAAGTAGTAAATGAAGATCTACTTAGAAGTTAGTAATTTGATATAATTTTCATGGTACTTTGACTGTTTTGATTTCTGCTGAAATAAAACTGGGGTTTTTTTAGGATATAGACAGGAATTTTAAAATCATGGTATTTTTTTTTTAATGAAACAAGGTTCTAGAATGCAAACTAATTTATACTTGTGTGCTGGTTTGTGGAGATTTTTGAAATAAAGTTAATGCAGAATGTAGTCTTACAGACTTGAGTTATTGGGCCATGCTAGGAAGACTTGTATGACTAATACTTGAGTACTACATAAAATGTGGGGTTTTTTCTTCTTTTTTTTTTTTTTCAAATCTGTTGTCTAATGCATCATGCAATCATTTTTATACCAAAACAGAGAATACGTTTTGTTTGTGAATCTTCCACGTTTCATTTTCATGCTTTAAGAGCAGCTAATCAGTGGTTTTATTCCATCGAGCTTTTATGTTTTTGCTAATGGCCATTCTTGTAAATATTGTTGTCAATTTGCATTTGAGAAATGTTCTGCCTTGCATCAGGAGGGATACACATTCAGTTAATTGTTATATGATGCATTCCAAGGGGGAAAAAAACGGATAGTTTGCTTTTGTAGCATTCTTTTGAAGATCATGTTTAAATTCAAAACTTAACTAGGAAGAATTGTTAGTGTTTTACTAGTTATTTGGGAAGTCTCTAAAGAGAATTAAGATGATTGAATGAAAAGCAAATGTCATTTAATAGTTTGCTTTTGTACTGAAAAAATGACTTCAAAATTTGCTTGTGGCTGGAGTTTTTTTCATAACCGGGTCAATTTGCTTAGGACATAAATAGTTTTCAGAAAGCCAACTTAAAGTTTCAGGGTTGGGTGACCAGACTTCTATTTCAAAAGTGACAAACTGAGTCTTTAGTTTTGGCGTCTGTCAGTATAAACACATGTGAAAGATTGCTTTTCAGATAATTATCTTGATCTTCCTTCATTTTCTTTATGTATTGAAGATATGCTGAAATGTATTTTGACTGAGATACAAAAGCCAGCTTGAAGGGTTTTCATGGTGTTAAATTTATATTTTGAAAGTGATTACAGAATAAATGCAGCATCAAAATAAATCAGGTATCAATTTCCCTGATCTTTGTAGTCTGAAGTGCATTCTGTTGATGTTACGATGAAAATGTCATACCTCCACTATGGATGTTCTTGTGTGTTGGAAACAGTCTCTCTTCAGAATAGTCTTGAAATTAAAAAGGGACAAACTTCTCTACAAGACACAAGACCATACTGAAAGAAAAGAGATGGGTAGAAAAGAGTAATCCTAATCCTGTCATAAGACAGATGTAGAATGTTTGCCCTCTAATTCCTGTCAGAATGCTGATTTCCTCATAAAGGGAGTATACAAAAAAGCATTGGAATGTCTTCCAGGCATTAAGAAAATAATACATTTGTTTTTCTTTCATAGTACTTTAGGGCTGGCTAGCTAAGTCTCAAAGCTCATTATCAGTTTTCTCAACTGAAAGAAAAAGTAATGAGTTTGCAGTATAAGTTTCTGGTTTCTGTTTCACACAGTTGTCTCGAACTGAATTATAAATGGAAATCTTTCAGTAATGTTGGCATTGTTTTCAAATCAGCACAGGTAAAGTGTATTCACAAGTGCAAAATCTAAACCAAAAAGTGTATTGCAACAGTCCAGTATCAAGCATTGAATTCAAACAGCATTACTTTGAAAGTGCTGGAAAGGGGCTGATTTTTCTGTCTTTGTAGCTCTGGAGCCTTTTTGTGATTCATCTTGTACCTATTTCCCCCCGTTTCTTGATCCTCACTTCATTTGTTCTTCTCGTCCTCATTTTCTTGTATCTCTCAGGAAACACATTTATTCTCTGGCTCTCCCTTGTGTTCATTTGTTCTTATTATGAGATAATATTTTTCATGGCTGAGGGTAATTTACATGGCAAAATGTTATTTCTTCATATTAGATTCTTTTTTTTTTTTTAAAAAAAAGTAATTTGCATCCTGAAAGAAACTATGATATTTATACATTAGAATACATATAATATCTTTGGTCTAATACGTGTGGAGAGGGAGGTAGGAAAGTAACATTTTCGCATCCTTTTCTATTTAAAAAAAAAAAGAAAAGATTGGCGTAAGAGGTTTATTTGTCATATTTTCAGTTGAAATCTGCTAGAGTGTACCATTCCTTACGCAACACTGATTTAAACAGTCCTTTTTTTCCTAGTTTTGGTTATGATATATTTTCCTTCTTTTCTTTCCTTTTCAGTTAGCCATAGGTCAGCGTGTTACACTACTGTAATGCTTTTATCTTAGACCATACATGCATCTTAAGAGCCTGTAACTGCATGTTGTATTTCTGTGTAGTTAAAGGTTTAGGAAGAGCCTACAAAGTTAGTAGTCTTGTTATAAGTAGAACAATCATTGTAAAGTCTTGCAATATCTGTTTTTTCTTCCCCCCCTTCCCCCCCGCCCCCCAAATTACCAAGGGTTTTTTTTCTTATTATCTTGGCAGTATTAATGCAGCATGTGTTTCATAGGCAACAAGTAGTTCTTTAGCTTTAATTACAGAGGATATTCTCTTAATTCTATGAATAACTGATTACATTTTCACAAGGTACCTGCAGCTTGTATCTTGATTCTTTTTTGCATTTTTCTGTCATTTTTCCATTTGTAAAGCACGTACCGTGAGAGTGTTTATGAGTATTACACCGGATATCACAGCTGAATCTCCCAATCCAAATATTTTTGTCTTTTTTCTGGAATATTAGAATTGTTTTGTTTTGAGGTTAGTCTTGAGTTGGGTCTGAAAGCTTGTTTCTTTTATTAGCACTAATCTTTCGACTGTGAGATAAATGTGGATGGATACAATCGTGTACTGTAATGATGACACCAGGTTAACCTTTCTGTTGCTTACTTTCTTTCCTTTTTCCTATTCCTAAGCAGCAGGAAGCAAACAGCCAGCTCTCGTGCTGACTTTCTTGTGTCCTGCCTACTCAAGCAGTTTTTTCTGCTGGTTCTCTGAATTCAGGGGAAAGCTCTACTGATGCCAGCCATATTGCTCCTGTTTTCTGCAGGAAACGGTTGTGAACTTTTCACTGCTCTCCATTTACCTGCATAAAGTGCTGCTCTGTTCCTGTGATCAGACAGAGCAGGCAGGCTTCAGAAATGGCTTCCGAACATGTACTTCGCTGTGATCAGAAAAGCTAAGCAGGGTTTCTTATTTTGGTAGCAGTAGTGATGGAAGTTGACGATTCTTGTCTGGGATATTAGAAAGTGGGGTTTTTTGGTTTTTCTTTTTCTTTTTTTGAGAATAAGTGAAAATCTAAACTTTGTCCTTGGGTCAGTGTTATTCCTGACATAGTAATACTGTCTCTTTAGGCCAGCTTTTGAAATTGTGTAGGTTTGCATGGGCCTTGTGCTGATAATAGCTATTCTTTCATTAGAGCCTTCTCTTTCTAAAACATTTTCAGATATTGGATGAATTGCAGTTTTCTGCAATTAGGTGTGTGAAAGACAGACATAGTCATTTTTGCTTTGAGCATATGTTTACAATAAGTTTGGACTCTGGTCTATTTCTGCTCTTGTTTTGGTGTCCATTTTATCCATTTTTATCACTGCACATAATCTTCCTACTTTGAACTAATTCTTGGTTCATTACTAAAGCACATTGAGTAACTATGTTGCTTTCTAATATGGAGGAGTATGTGTGAGATATAGTAATGTAAAAGTGCACAAAAAGATTTCTGTCCCTTTTCCTATGAAGTCAAAGCTAAGTTTTGGACGCCCCTCTGGCTGTACTGTAGAAAAAAATCTTTTGTCAGCAATTCATTGAAAATTTGGAGCTGTACTTCAGCTCTCACTGAAGCACATACCACTAGGATTGCTTAAACGAATTTACATAGCCGCGGTATTTGCAACAGAGCCAGTACTCTTGCGAAGATTCGGGTCCCTTGCGCCACAGCTAACGAAGTGCACAGCAACCATTTTTAAGCAGCTGTTACAGCATGATATGGCTGAGCCGAAATACAAACTATTATTCTTCCAGGAGGTTATGCTCACTGCTGGACTCACAAATGACTGAAATTAAGATGTTCTTACATTTAAAGTTAAAAATATTACTTAATTCCTGCCTACCTTCTTGTCTCTCAGCTGGAGCATCCGGTTTCGCATTACACCAAATAAAAAGTGAATGCCATGTGTGTTTATTCCTCTTGGCTGGATTTTGTTGCTGTCAAATGTTGCTTTTAGGTATTAAAAATCTTTCTTTGAGTAACCAGGTGAGTTTTAGTTGTAGATAAAACTTTTATTCACGATTTTATTCCTTTTTCTTTTATTGTACACTGAAATTTGTGACTTAATGTTCCTCTAAGTTAGTATCCAATGAATTCTACAAATAAACACTTATGATGTTCAAGTTATTTTTGCAATTGCTGCCATGAACCATTAGGACAGAGAGAGGACATCCAGGACAAATATTTGGATTTAAGGCCATTGGCTGAACTCTAGTCTCTCCCATGGGGTCCTCACTACTCCATTTGGCTAGCACATGTTGAGTTTTCGGCTCTTCACCCGTCACAGGAGGGCAAGCATATCTTTAAAATCTTTTTTTTTGTTGAACTGGCAATTCCTTATCTGTTCACCATCCCGCATTCATGTTTAAAGTCCAGTTTTCCATCTCCAGGCTGGAAAAGTCCTTAGGGAAAGTTCAAGAGGAACCTCTTTCCCAGTGTGACACCTTTGGCTTCTCCATCTAGTCTTGCAGCAGTTCTGTAGGGAGAAGGCTTTGTTAGAGGAAATCTGAGATTATTCTAAGCAGTTCCTCAGAGCTCCTTTTTTAGAAGCAGCTGTTGGTAGTGAACCTTTTGCAATTGCTGTTCTGTCTGCAATGAACCCCTC